TTTGAAGTGTGTATTTGTTCACGTCCTGATAATATTCGTTAAGCACTTTACCATGCTCTGATATTGATCACTCGATTTCGACTATCTGTGGAGATATTGTACCAGAACTCAATCTTCATTCTATACTCTCTGAATGTCAAAGACTAAAAAATTTGACGAATTTGAAGCACTTTGATCTATTCTATCGGTGAGTCACTCAAAAGTAACCCAATTGCAATTTTATTCCAAAAGGCGCACTTTATCACCGGTTTTCAACTGTGAAAAGAAAAATCTAAAAATTCTCTTTTGATTGTTGATCATCAAATTCAGCCACAGCTGAAAAAAACCAATGTATCTTCAGTTGGAACTTAAGTTAGTACAGAAACATCCTACAGCAATAGGATAAACAGTTTGCTTTAAAGATCGAATAAATAAATGAGGGTGAAAAAAATTTGAGGAAATTTCAAAGCAAGAAAGTTTCAAGAAGCATTCTAAAATTTCAGCCACAGCCTTTACTCGTTTCTCTAATCTTGTATTTCTCTCTTTCTGTTTTATAGATGAAAATCTGCAGTTTTTGCTTTTTGATTTGAGTTTCTGCAACTGCGCCACTGCTTTGTTTGCTGTTCACTCTTCATTGTCAAAATTACTTCGCCGGGCTGATTTTTTTGTTCGAATCACCTTGGGTGCGACCGCAGCGACTTTTTTGATGAGATTATGCCAAGTCACGCTGTGGAATAGTGTGTAGGGAAATTTCGTGTTTTTCAGGTAAGAGGGTGCATTAAAGTGTTTTCTGTACCCTGCAGTGCTCCAATACTCAGCAGCCTTGGTAGCCTTGCTAAATTTTAAACTGAAATCAAATGTGGAGAGCCGAGCAAAATAATTACATACCAAGCAAAATCCGATCAAGCAACAAAATTAAATCTATGCTATGTTATGGTCTCTATATCATAAGTTTAATCAAATTTCTTAAATCATCAAGTAGTAGGTTGTAGTTACTACTTTCAATTCCTTTTTCTTTTATTGAAGATTTTGCTTGGGCTTTTCCTCGCTATTGATGTTGTAGCCAAAATGATCAGTAAACCTTTGATATGAGAACAAGTGAAAAACACTGAAGCACTTAATTTTTAAGTGTATACCTTCGTCAAAATCTGTGAACTATAATTTTCTCTCTTCATCTCTTGCCTGCGACTAATCAGATTTTATCATTTCTGGTTTTTCTTTGGGAAAAGGGGGCTAAGTCAATGGGTCAAAATTTCCATTAGAGCTATTTTTGAGTTGATCAAGAAAATTGGATTTTGACTTTTCAACAAAAAACTCTCTCTAGCGTCCTGTAAAATATGTTATGAACGGTTGTCTGATTACCTCATACTTGTGTCTTTAGAGGGCATGAAGTTTTATCATGAACGGGCAGCTTAGTGCCCTGAACATGGCTGATCAGACTTTTAAATGGCTTTTCCTCTAAACTGCATCTTTTTTAATTGCAAATTGAAACTGCGGTAGCTCGGGTTTGATTTGAAGTGTGTATTTGTTCACGTCCTGATAATATTCGTTAAGCACTTTACCATGCTCCGATATTGATTACACGATTTCGACTATCTGTGGAGTAGGGTCTTTTTTCTATAGACAGTCACATTTAACGTTGCAAGTATAACAAGAAATTTTTTTCTCCTTTTTCAGCTTTTACATGGCACTAAAGGACAAGAGCTAGTCTATAGATGATAGTAGATCAAAAGTAAGTATTTTTTTCTTTCTTCACATTGTATGTTCCTGGTCATGAGTGGCGGTAGCCACCACCGGGCAAGTAACCTATCTTCCAACAATTGGCAACA